TAGTCCAAGCATTATAGAGAAATGCTTACAGAAATTATTACCTGGACAAAAAAAATATGACCGTATAGAAAATTAAATTTTAAATTGAGTTTCTTGTTCTTTAAACTCGATCCAATATGGCGAACATGGTTAAAAAAATCGCAAAGTTGAAAAACCGTTTTTTTCAACTTTGCGATTTTTTTTAACCATGTTCGCCATATTGGATCGAGTTTAAAGAACAAGAAACTCAATTTAAAATTTAATTTTCTATACGGTCATATTTTTTTTGTCCAGGTAATAATTTCTGTAAGCATTTCTCTATAATGCTTGGACTATATCTAGCACTTTCCAGTGCACCTAACCCCCTACACTATAGGTCCCATAGCGAGCTCGCGTGATAGAAAATCTATTACCACATGTGGGACAAAAATAACACATGATTGAAAAGTGTCTTTTATAAGCAAAAATTGTAATGTCCGACAAAAATATGTCCTCAAATCGTCAGTCTGACAAAAAATGATGAAAAAAATTTTGTAAAAAATGTGCACATGTATTAATAATTTCTAATAAGGTATTTTCATGTATTAAGCAAATTTCCATATAAATATACAATACAGGGTGTTTCAGAAAGACCTCCCGTAAATACAGGGGGTGAGGACGACAAAAAAATAAGAATTTTTTGTCAGATGAACTATATGTCTATCTCCACTTGTTTTCGAGATACAGATCAACATAATAAAATTTTTTAAATATCATTTTTATGAAAATTTCTAAACGGTGTGAAATATTTTTATGAAATTTCAAGCTTGCTTTGAGAAAAGTCACTTATTTTATACACCCTAATATTGTAAGAGTTCAATTAAAAGCCTTTTTTCTCGAAAATCGTCCACATTAGGAAGTTCTGACATGAGTACATTATTTCTAGAAAATAAAATTGTACAATAGAAATTGGAGCCCAAATGGTAAAAAACCTAACCTTAAAAAAAATAGTACTGAAGATGTAATAAGAATGTAGCATAATTAGCGCCCTCTATGAAATATACAAAAAGTAATTAGACCAGCGTATTTAAAAACCCCGGACTACCAAAGTTCATAAAAATATTTCGCACCGTTTGGAAATTTTCGTAAAAATTCTATTTAAAAAATTTTATTTTATCTCTCTGTATCTCGAAAACAAGAGGAGATAGACATAGTTCATAAGACAAAAAATTCTCATTTTTTGTCGTACTATCACGCCCTTTATTTATTGGAGGTCTTTCTGAAACACCCTGTATATATTTTTCGTTTTATTCTTGTAATTGTAAATCTCCATATGCTCAATTTAGCCAAATAAATATCGAGAAAAGAATTAAACGATTTCAAAAAAGTATGTATGGTGTAAAAAAAATATGCACAAAAGTTTTGGGATTTTCTTTTAGGAAAATAGGAAAATTTTTGTAAAGAAAAATAACAAACGCGGATGAAAACTTGAAAGGGAAAAAAGGATTTTTATATCAGGTATAATATTAATTTATTTAGAAATAATGCATTATGCACTAAGATAGTATTAATCGCCTCAAAAATAACTTCATTTGTTTATAACTTTTAAATTTTTAAGCATAAAATAAGCAATATTATAATTATTTATTTGAAACCAATAATAATTTATATAATAATAATTAAATTTCATCACGATTATTGATTTATTGATTTTTTAATAATTTGCAGATATTAAATCGTCCGACACTTATATCACTATTTTGTACAGTACATTTAAAAGTGGAAAAAATGAAAATTAGATATGTGGTAATCGATTTTTCATACCCCGTGAAAATTCCGATTTCCAGCTGTCGGTCTGAAAAAATGCGGCTTTAAATTTGTCGGACAACAATACTTTTTGACTGAATTAATTATTTACAATTAATTTTACTAAAAATTACCTATGTGGCAATTGATTTTCAATATCCTGTTATTTTGGCATGTTTCCGCCGGTAGACATGTCAATGTCGGAAGAATTTCTGTCGGACAAATTGAAATCGGCATTCGCAACAAATTTTCCAGTTAACTTAAGCTAAAAATAAAAGATGTGGTCTTGACTTTTCAAGACCCATGGAAATTGCCATGTTTTTGGACTTTTCCGAGTGGAAAAGCGGAGGAATCGAGAAAAGTCGAAGAAGAAAAATGTTGTAGACTCGTCAAAACGAAGCTCCTCAGGAGTTATGTGGTAATCAACTTTCCAGAGGGGGTCCTGTACTGTGGACTAGTATTGTTAGTTATTCGTGTTTCTGTTGAAAACGACAAAAGTTTTTTGAAAACTATCGAGAGTAAGAAAAGTTTTAGAATTAAATTTCCTATAAAATAAACTAATTTTCCACCAACGGGTTAAAAAATTCTGTAACATTTTAATGGTGCGTCATGACGTATCAACCCTTTAAATGAACACTACTTACTTTTGATTAATGCTCTTGGTACACTAACACCGTGTACCAAATTTGGTTTTTCCAAGTTCAAGTATAACTGAGATATTGATTTTTTTAGAAAAAGTGACTCAAAATTTCGCCCATTTCGTCAACCTCACGAACGACTCAAAAGTTGTCTAAATAATAGCTTGTGGTGATACTTTAGAGTAGGCAAAATTTTAAACTGAGCATAGTTTTTGTTTTGGAGATTTGACAAGTCGAACCTGTTAGTTGGCTTGTTCACGCCAAGATGAATCCAACATTCTCGACACACTCGTTCATTGTGTTCAAAGATTTACCAAACACTTTGTTTTAATGAGGTACTCCCGATTTTACAAAATCAGAATTTTTGCTGAAAATATTCAATTAATTGGTATTTTTATACTGGAGACTTACAAAATCTCAATAGATATTCTAAACCTTGTATCCGAAGGATTTTGAACTAGGATAATTTGGATGTAAGATAGGTTTGGTTATATTACTGAAATGTATTTCAATAATATGTAAGCCTCTTCACCACATTACGATACTAATCCAGGAAGAGGTTTGTGTGTTTTTTCTTGATTTGTTATTTTAATTTTTTCTTTTTTTTTTTTTCAATTTTTTAAATTTATATTAGCGTTTTTTTATAATTTTTCTAAATTCACAAATAAATTAATTTTTGAAGCTAATCTAAATAGCGAGTATATTTAAGTATGCGATTCTGCATCTTTTCGTATAGAAATAGATACATCGTAAATATCTGGATTGGGTGTATGAACTCCTTCCTACTGTGCATAACCCAGATACCAAACTTAAGAAAACTTCATGTTGTGAGGGACTACGCTTTTTGCAAGCAATGAGTTTACATTTTCATCAGTCAGATCATGTAAAATAATATGCAACTATTTTCTTAAGAGAAGTCTCTTCCGTCGGCTCAGCAGCACACGAATTCAGGAAAAAAACTGATGGCACCCAACTTAAAATTCTAAGTTTGCCCGATTGATCACAACACCTTTGTATTTTACGTTGTAAAAGTACATTTAATTATGAAACTCTTTAATTCTTAGTACATAGTTACAATAGTCTGTGTTCTAAAATATTTATTAAGAAATAGGTATAGCATATAAGTACAATCATTATATACAGGGTCGGAAAGTCTCCATGGTTCATCGGCCGTTACGTGGGAGCGATAAAGAAAGTCATAGAAATCCGTGCGATAGAGAAAGATGGCTATAATGAAGGCGTCTAATAGTCACCGTCCATTTCGCCCTTCCACAAATAAGATCCACTTCTTATTTGTGGAAGGGCGAAATGGGCGGTGACTATTAGACGCCTTCATTATATCCATCTTTCTCTATCGCACGGATTTCTATGACTTTCTTTATCACTCTCACGTAACGGCCGATGAACCATGGGGATCTTCCGACCCTGTATGTTGCAGTAACTCATAGCTCCATTTTCTATTTCGTTTTATTGAGGTCCTGACACTCGGTGGCAGTTGCCTCATCTATTGCCTCGATGAAATTGTCCAAAGCTGACTTTGTCACGGGGTTCTTGCAAGACGCTTCTTGGTGAAATTTATCACAAGATTTAATATTTGGCAGCAGTCTGAAAAATAGAAAATAATGTTAAGTGAAATCTAAANTCATCTATTGCCTCGAAGAAATTGACCATAGCTGACTTTGTCACGGGGTTCTTGCAAGACGCTTCTTGGTGAAATTTATCACAAGATTTAATATTTGGCAGCAGTCTGAAAAATAGAAAATAATGTTAAGTGAAATCTAAAAAGAAGGTAACATTAATATAGAGTGTATTAAGAACCATTTATATTTTGGGTTCTAATAATTTTTTTTATACACAGAAGTTGTCGAACCAATTATGGTGATTGGGTTAGTTACCTTTCTGCAATTTTTTTAGACTGATAAGTAAATTATTGTACAGTATAAATTGATGAAATTCGAGAAGTTGGTGCTTTATGTGATGAAGTGATTAAGGCTATGTAGCTAAATTTTTAATAAAAAAAAAATCAAAAGCAATCGTCTCAAAAATCACAGCAGGCCATGGATTAATAACTGAATTAATTATCAAAACAATTTAAGAAGGGTTATCTGCTTCTTAAGGGACCAAATTGTATATTAAACGAGTCAAATATGTGCTCCGATTCTGACTATTATGCATCACATAATTTATACTTACGAGCATACTAGAGATTTGGAGGGAAGTTTATTTTTGTATTCTTTGTAGATATTTCTGACTTTAGTACAAGCTTCATAGGGCAGGGTTCCTTTTGCTTTTGTACAAGGGTTCCATAATTCTAAAAAAAGTTATAATTTATAATAAAAAGAATAAAAAATAATAATGTATAAATAACACGTTAGAAAGCTGCATAAAGTTCATTCTTACATTGAACAAATAAATATACCTCAACTTTTAATTAATTTAATACAGTTACCCAAAATTTCCTCAACTGTAGAGTTACAAGCTTGATCGATGATTGCTTTGCCAATCTTAATAGCCATAACTGGTAATCCCTTTGATTCTTCCGGCAAACATCTAACTAATTCTTTCTTAACAGGTTCCAAGCATTTTTCCACATTATTCCTCAGCAAACTGCAGAAAGTGTTATCTCCTAATTCTATGTTTTCTATACAATTGTCCACTTCTTCAAGAGTTGTCTAAAAAAATAAACCAACAAAACCTATAACCGGACATAAAATGATATAAAAAAATTTACAAATTTCAAAAGTGCACGTTTTATCTTCCATTATTTTTTTTGTACGCATTCTTGTTATTGCAACTTACATCGAACGTCTGTTTGAGTTCAGGACACTGTTTTTTGGTTTTTTCGGATAACACAATGAACTTATTGACGACTGTTGGATTTAGCTTTTCTTCGTACCTGTTAGCTAACGACTTTAGGAATGATTCAGATGAACTTGATGATTCTCCTTCAGCATGAACTAGAAAATTATAATTAGAAATTGTATATATTGTCATATTTATAGACAAAATACTTAGACCCAATCTACAGTACAATTAATAACTGGTTACCAAAAAAGAAATTAACATTCTTAGTTTTCAATGTCTGAACTCTATCGTTTAATTTTATGTAATTTCTGGTTATTTTAAAATTAAAAAAAAACAAATTTAGTACTATTGAAAGTAATTATGGCTTCCTGATACGAATATTTTTATGAAAAATAGGGGGTAAGTATGCAATAGTCGAGTTATAAATTAGTTTTTTAAAATGCACTTTAATAGGTACTTGTGTACGCCGCAGGCAACCTACAGTGTATGTGAAGGGAGATAGTGTGTGTGAGTGGTTGTAATAATATAATTATGTATAAAATTAATATAATTTTATACATAATTTAAAAATATAACACAAATGTGATGTTAATGCAGTGAGAAGAAATTTGTTTGATATATTGCACAAAATACTCTGATACAAAATAAAAATTAAATCTACAGTGAAACTATGATATACATCAAGCAAGACATTCTTCGATTTTTCATTCAAAATTTTATGGGAAAATGTGAATCATTTATTTTTTACAAGACTGTACTATTTTTTTAAATATATCAGTTAAGTGGTTGTTTAGGGGGCTTGATATTACCACTGCAGCAAATTAAAAAAATAACTAGATTTTTTTTATATTTGTTACCCTGTATTTCGAAAACCCCATTTATTTTCAAGAATACTTGAAGTTATTTCTACTAATGTGTTCAGTTTACTGATTACAATGAAAAATCAATTTTCAACTCTCTACTGCAAGAGCTAATAAATCCGCAGGGTGAGCCCGAATAAAAAAATAAATCACACAAAATACTCACATAATTTGTAATATTATCTTTACGGGAATCCAACACTGTATTTTCATAAAAAATGCTTTCAGTAATTATTAGTAAAAATAGAATTTGTACTGTAACCGTGGATGTGTAATATAGTATATGGGAAACTTACCACATGCAGCAGTGAGGAGAAGAATTAACACAAACTTGTTCATTTTGAAACACTTATACAACTTCCTCAAGACAAATCGAATGGTATTGTAAATAACTTCTGTTGCCCTTATATGTATACGAGTATATATATATTCCTTTTCCGTTGATAATTTCTGTTGCGTCTTTGGGAAGGTCGAAAGATCAACGCCAAAGTTGTTGCAAAAAAACAGAGTTTAATTAGTTTAAATGTATTAATAAAATTTGATTAGAATATTTAAAGCTATATTTTTGTAAAAACAAGCTGTGTATATATAGCGATACAACATAATTTTATCTAAAGTAATAATTTAATCAAATTACATTTTTATGGGGTGGTCATAGAAAGAATACCTCCTTCCTGTATTGTCTCTGTTATCTTTAAGATATAAATTAAAGTCTACGAATAATAAAAGTTGTAGTGCTTGTGTTGCAGCAACATTGAACATTCACAGCATTTGTAAACTTTTTCTTGTTTTGTAATTATACCACCCCAACTTAAAATTTTAAGTTTACCCGATTGATCACAACACCTTTGTATTTTACGTTGTAAAAGCACATTTAATTATGAAACTCGTTAATTCTTAGTACATAGTTACAATAGTCTAGTGTTCTAAAATATTTATTAAGAAGTAGGTATAGCATATAGTAAGTACAATCATTATATACATTGCATTAACTCATAGCTCCATTTTCTATTTCGTTTTATTGAGGTCCTGACACTCGGTGGCAGTTGCCTCATCTATTGCCTCGAAGAAATTGACCATAGCTGACTTTGTCACGGGGTTCTTGCAAGACGCTTCTTGGTGAAATTTATCACAAGATTTAATATTTGGCAGCAGTCTGAAAAATAGAAAATAATGTTAAGTGAAATCTAAAGAGAAGGTAACATTAATATAGATAGAGTGTGATCTATTAAGAACCATTTATATTTTGGGTTCAAATAATTTTTTTATACACAGAAGTTCCCGAACCAATTACGGTGATTGGGTTAGTTACCTTTCTGCAATTTTTTTAGAAACAAGTTGTAAGAAAATTACTCATAATAATTGTTATACAAAAAAATCTTGCTAAATAACCTTAACCACTTAAACCTCATATATTATAAATTTAAATGGCACAACAATTTTTCTACGGTCTTAAGAAATTTAAGTTTATTAAGTTTTGATTTCAGTTTAAAAATGTACAGAACATTATTGGCTAATTTTCTGGTAAGTAAATTATTGTACAGAATAAATTGAAGTTGGTACTTTATGTGATGAAGTGATTAAGGCTATGTAGCAAGATTTTTAATCAAAAAAAATTCAAAAGCAATCGTCTCAAAAATCACAGCAGGCCATGGATTAATAACTGAATTAATTATCAAAACAATTTAAGAGGGGTTGTCTGGTTCTTAAGGGTCCAAATTTTATATTAAACGAGTCACATATGTGCTCCGATTCTGACTTTTTTTTTATGCATCACATAATTTATACTTACGAGCATACTAGAGATTTGGAGGGAAGTTTATTTTTGTATTCTCTGAAGATCTTTCTGACTTTAGTACAAGCTTCATAAGACAGGGTTTCCTTTGCTCTTGTACAAGGGTTCAATAATTCTAAAAAAAGTTATAATTTATAATAAAAAGAATAAAAAATAATAATGTATAAATAACACGTTAGAAAGCTGCATAAAGTTCATTCTTACATTGAACAAATAAATATACCTCAACTTTTAATTAATTTAATACAGTTACCTAAAATTTCCTCAACTGTAGAGTTACAAGCTTGATCGACGACTGCTTTGCCAATCTTGATAGCCATAATTGGTAATCCCTTTGATTCTTCTGGCAAACATCTAACTAAAGTTTTCTTAACAGGTTCCAAGCATTTTTCCAAATTATTCCTCAGCAAACTGCATAAAGTGTTATCTCCTAATTCTGTGTTTTCTATACAATTGTCCACTTCTTCAAGAGTTGTCTAAAAAATAAACCAACAAAACGTATAACCGGACATAAAATGATATAAAAAATTTACAAATTTCAAAAGTGCATGTTTTATCTTCCATTATTTTTTTGTACGCATTCTTGTTATTGCAACTTACATCTAACGTCTGTTCGAGTTCAGGACACTGTATTTTGGTTTTTTCGGATAACTCAATGAACTTATTGAGGATTTTTGGATTTAGCTTTTCTTCGAACCTATTAGCTAACGACTTTAGGAATGATTCAGAAGAACTTGATGATTCTTCTTCTGCATGAACTAGAAAATTATAATTAGAAATTGTATATATTGTCATATTTATAGATAAAATACTTAGACCCAATCTACAGTACAATTAATAACTGGTTATCAAAAAAGGAATTAACATTCTTAGTTTTCAATGTCAGAACTTCATCGTTTAATTTTATGTAATTTCTGGTTATTTTAAAATTAAAAAAAAACAAATTTAGTACTATTGAAAGTAATTATGGCTTCCTGATACGAATATTTTTATGAAAAATAGGGGGTAAGTATGCAATAGTCGAGTTATAAATTAGTTTTTTAAAATGCACTTTAATAGGTACTTGTGTACGCCGCAGGCAACCTACAGTGTATGTGAAGGGAGATAGTGTGTGTGAGTGGTTGTAATAATATAATTATGTATAAAATTAATATAATTTTATACATAATTTAAAAATATAACACAAATGTGATGTTAATGCAGTGAGAAGAAATTTGTTTGATATATTGCACCAAATACTTTAATACAAAATAAAAATTAAATCTACAGTGAAACTATGATATACATCAAGCAAGACATTTTTCGATTTTTCATTCAAAATTTTATGGGAAAATGTGAATCATTTATTTTTTACAATACTGTACTATTTTTTTAAATATATGAGTTAAGTGGTTGTTTAGGGGGCTTGATATTACCACTGCAGCAAATTAAAAAAATACTAGATTTTTTTTTATATCTGTTACCCTGTATTTCGAAAACCCCATTTATTTTCAAGAATACTTGAAGTTATTTCTACTAATGTGTTCAGTTTACTGATTACAATGAAAAATCAATTTTCAACTATCAACTGCAAGAGCTAATAAATCCGCAGGGTGAGCCCGAATAAAAAAATAAATCACACAAAATACTCACATAATTTGTAATATTATCTTTACGGGAATCCAACACTGTATTTTCATAAAAAATGCTTTCAGTAATTATTAGTAAAAATAGAATTTGTACTGTAACCGTGGATGTGTAATATAGTTATATGGGAAACTTACCACATGCAGCAGTGAGGAGAAGAATTAACACAAACTTGTTCATTTTGAAACACTTATACAACTTCCTCAAGACAAATCGAATGGTATTGTAAATAACTTCTGTTGCCCTTATATGTATACGAGTATATATATATATTCCTTTTCCGTTGATAATTTCTGTTGCGTCTTTGGGAAGGTCGAAAGATCAACGCCAAAGTTGTTGCAAAAAAACAGAGTTTAATTAGTTTAAATGTATTAATAAAATTTGATTAGAATATTTAAAGCTATATTTTTTAAAAACAAGCTGTGTATATATAGCGATACAACATAATTTTATCTAAAGTAATAATTTAATCAAATTACATTTTTATGGGGTGGTCATAGAAAGAATACCTTCTTCCTGTATTGTCTCTGTTATCTTTAAGATATGAATTAAAGTCTACGAATAATAAAAGTTGTAGTGCTTGTGTTGCAGCAACATTGAACATTCACAGCATTTGTAAACTTTTTCTTGTTTTGTAATTATACCACCCCAACATAAAATTCTAAGTTTGCCAATTGATCACAACACCTTTGTATTTTACGTTGTAAAAGCACATTTAATTATGAAACTCGGTAATTCTTAGTACATAGTTACAATAGTCTGTGTTCTAAAATATTTATTAAGAAGTATATCATATAAGTACACTCATTATATATGTCGCATTAACTCATAGCTCCATTTTCTATTTCGTTTTATTGAGGTCCTGACACTCGGTGGCAGTTGACTCATCTATTGCCTCGTAGAAATTGACCATAGCTGACTTTGTCACGGGGTTCTTGCAAGACGCTTCTTGGTGAGATTTAATACAAGATTTAATATTTGGCAGCACTCTGAAAAATAGAAAATAATGTTAAGTGAAATCTAAAAAGAAGGTAACATTAATATAGAGTGTGACCTATTAAGAACCATTTATATTTTGGGTTCAAATAATTTTTTTTATACACAAGTTTCAAACCAATTACGGTGATTGGGCTAGTTACCCTTCTGCAATATTTTTAGAAACAAGTTTTAAGAAAATTACTCATAATAATTGTTATACAAAAAAATCTGGCTAAATAACCAACCATTTAAACCTCATATACATATTATAAATTTAAATGTCACAATTTTTTTACTTAAGAAATTTAAGTTTTGATTTCAGTTTAAAAATGTACAGAACATTGGCTAATTTTCAGATAAGTAAATTATTGTACAGTATAAATTGATGAAATTCGAGAAGTTGGTGCTTTATGTGATAAAGTGATTAAGGCTATGTAGCTAGATCTTTAATAAAAAAAAAATTCAAAAGCAATCGTCCCAAAAATCACAGCAGGCCATGGATTAATAACTGAATTAATTATCAAAACAATTTAAGAGGGGTTGTCTGGTTCTTAAGGGGCCAAATTGTATATTAAACAAGCCAAATATGTGTATATCACATAATTTATACTTACGAGCATACTAGAGACTTTGAGGGAACTTTATTTTTGTATTCTATGAGGACATTTCTGACTTTAGTACAAGTTTCATAAGATTGGAAGTCCTTTGCTCTTGTACAAGGGTTGAATAATTCTAAAAAAAAGGTTATAATTTATACTCAAAAAAAGACAAAAAAATATAAGTATATGCAAGTTAGAAAGCTGCATAAAGTTCATTCTTACTTTGAACAAATAAATATACCTCAACTTTTAATTAATTTAATACAGTTACCCAAAATTTCCTCAACTGTAGAGTTACAAGCTTGATCGATGACTGCTTTGACAATCTTAATAACCATAACTGGCAATCCCTTTGATTCTTCTGGCAGACATCCAACTAATGCTTTCTTAACAGGTTCGGAGCATTTTTC